AAGAACAAAACCCACCAGTAAAACGCAAATGCAAATGAGAAAAGACAAAAGAAACTAAATCTTACCACCTCAAAAAAAACCCCACAAATACAAAATGCCAATAATCAAGGCAGAAGAAAGGAACAAATGATACTCAAAACATCTAAACAAAAAGCCATAAAATGCCAGGAATAAGATCATACCTCTCAATAACAACCCTAAAGCTAAATGGATTAAACTTCCCACTCAAAAGACACAGACTGATGGACTGGATCAAAAAGCAAGACCCAACTATATGTTGTATTAAAGAGACTCATCTCACCAGTAAATATGAACAAAGACTAATAGTGAAGGGATGGAAAATTAAACAATGCAAGTGGAAACCCCAAACAAGCAGGAGAAGCTATTCTTACATCTGATAAAATAGACTTTAAACCAAAAACCATAAAAAGAGACAAAGAAGGCTACTATATAATGATAAAAGGATCAGCAAGAAGACATAACAATCATAAATATATATTCATCCAACACTGGAGCACCCAGATATATAAAGCAAATACTATTAGACCTAAAGAAAGAGATAGACCCCAATATGATAATAGTTGGGGACCTGAACACACCTCTCTCTTTATTGGACAGATCATCCAGGCAACAAATCAACAGAGAAACACAGGATTTAAACTACACTTTAGACCAACTGGATCTGGCAGATAGCTACAGAACATTCCATCCAAAAACTACAGACTATTTCTCATCAGCACATGCAACATTCTCCTAGATTGACCATCTTAGGGCACAAATCAAGTCTCAACAACTTTTAAAAAATCAGAATCATCTTAACTCTCTTTTCAGAACACAACAGATTAAAATTAGAATGAGTGAAACTCAAGACTCTATATAAATACATGGAAAATAAACATGAGGCTCCTGAATGTCCTATGGGTCCAAGAAAAAATTAAACAGAAAATCAAAAAATTTTCAGAAAACAATGAAAACAAAGACACAGCATATCAAAACCTGTGGGATACTGCAAAAAGAGTAGGAAGAGGAAAGTTTATAGCAATAAATGCTTACATTAAAAAAAAAGAAGACTTAGAGTAAACAACCTAACTCTACACCTAAAAGAACTAGAAAAACAAGAACTATCCAATCCCAAAGTTAGTAGATGGAAAGAAATAATTAAGATTAGAGAACTAAATAATATAGAAACCCAAGAAACTATACAAAAGATCAATGAAACAAAAAGATGGTTATTTGAGAAGTTGAACAAAATAGACAAACCATTAGCTAGGTTAACAAAAAAAAAAAAAAAAGAGAGAGAGAAGAACCAAATAACAAAAATCAGAAATGAAGCAGAAGACATTATAACTGATTCCAAAGAAATACAAAAAAAAATCATTAGAGACTATAAACAACTATACACCAACAAATTTGAAAACCTGGAGGAAATGGATATATTTCTGAACACATACAAACTACCAAAACTGAACCAAGAAGACACAGAAAACCCAAACAGACCAATAACAAGCAACAAGATTAAAGTAGTCAGCAATCTCCCAACAAAGAAAAGCCCAGGACTGGATGGCTTTACTGCTGAATTCTACCAAACCTCTAAGAAGGAATTAATACCAATTCTCTCCAAAGTATTCCAAAAAATTGAAGCGGAGGCCACTTTCCCAAATTCACTCTATGAGGCCAGCATCACTTCGATACCAAAAACAGACAAAGATACAACAAAAAAATAAAACTACAGACCAATATCCCTGATGAACACAGACACAAAATTCCTCAATAAAATACTAGCAAACAGAATACAACACCACATCAAAAAAATTATACACCATGATCAAGTAGGATTCATCCCAGAAATGCAAGGATGGTTCGACATACTCAAGTCAATAAATGTGACACACCACATCAACAAAATCAAGGACAAAAACCACACAATTATCTCAATAGATGCAGAAAAAGCATTTGGCAAATTCAACATCCCTTCATGATAAAGACTCTCAACAAATTAGGTACAGCACAATTATCTCAATAGATGCAAAAAAAGCATTTGGCAAATTCAACATCCCTTCATGATAAAGACTCTCAACAAATTAGGTACAGAAGGAAAGTATCTCAACACAACAAAAGCCATTTACAACAAGCCTACTGTCAGTATCATCCTGAATGGGGGAAAAACTAAAAGCTTTTCCCTTAGGAACAGGAACAAGACAAGGATGTCCACTTCACCACTCCCACTTAACATAGTACTGGAGCAATGAGAGCAATCAGGCAAGAGAAAAAATTAAAGGGAATCCAGATAGGAAAAGACAAAGTCACACTGCCCCTATTTGCAAATGACATGATCCTCCATATAGAAAAACCCAAAGACTATTGAAAAATTCTCAGAGCTTTTTAATAATTTCAGTAATGTTGCAGGATACAAAATCAATGCCCACAAATCATTTGTGTTTATATTCTCCAATAATGAGCCAACAGAAAGAGAAATCAAGAAAGTAAGCTCATTTACAATAGTCACCAAAAAAATAAAATACCTACAAATCAATTTAACCAAGGAGGTGAAAGGATCTCTACAATGAGAACTGTAAACCACTACTGAAAGAAATTAAAGACAGAAAAGGTGGAAAAACATTCCATTCTCTTGGATTAGAAGAATCAACATTGTGGAGATGTCCATACTATCCAAAGATATCTACAGATTCAATGCAATCTCCATCAAAATACCAATGACATTCTTCACAGAAAAAGCAATCCTGACATTCATATGGAACAATAAAAGACGCCAAATAGCCAAAACAATCCTGAGAAAAAAATTAAAGCCAGAGGCATAACACCACCTGACTTCAAATTATACTACAAAGGTATAGTAACCAAAACAGCACAGTACTGGCATAAAAATAGACACTCAGAACAGTGGATCATAATAGGGAACTCAGAAATCAACCTACAGACTTACAACCAACTGTTCTTTGACAAAGGCAACAAGAACATATACTGAGGAAAAGACTGCCTCTCCAATAAAGGTTGGGAAAACTGGACATCTATATAAAGAAAAATGAAACTAGACCTGCACCTCTCACCATATACCAATGTCAACTCAAAATGGATTAAAGACTTAAGTCTAAGACCTGAAAGTGTAAAACTACTAAGGGAAAATATAGGGGAAACACTTCAGGAAGTAGGACTAGGCAAAGACTTTATGAATAAGAGCCTAAAAGCACAAGCAACAAAAGAAAAAATTTAAAAATGGGATTATATCAAACTAAAAAGCCTATGCATAGCAAAGGAAACAATCAATACAGTGAAACAACTACCTACAGAGTGGGAGAAAGTATATGCAAACTATACATCTGACATGGGATTAATATCCAGAATACACAGGAATGCAATCAATTACACAGTAAAAAAGCTAATAACCTAATTAAAAAATGGGCAAAGGAGCTGAATAGACCTTTTTCTAAGGAAGACATACAAATGGCCAACAGCCACTTAAAAAATGCTCAACATCACTAATCATCAGGGGAATGCCAATTAAAACCACACTGAGATATCATCTCACCCCAGTTAGACTGGCTATAATCAAGAAGAAAGAGAATAACAAATACTGGCAAGGATGTGTTGAGAGGGGAAACACTCCTACACTGTTGGTGGGACTGGAAATTATGCAACTACTATGGGAAACAGTATGGAGGTTTCTCAAACAACTACAGATAGATCTACCATACGATCTAGCAATCCCACTTCTAGGTATATACCCAAAGGAATGGAAATCATCACATCTAAGGGATACCTGAAATGTCATGTTCATCACAGCTCTATTTACAATAGCTAAGATATGGAACCAAACCAAATGTCCATTAACAGAAGACTGGAGAAGGAAAATGTGGTATATATACACCACGGAATACTATTCTGCTATAAAAAAGAATGAAATTCTGCCATTCACAGCAACGTGGATGAGCTTGGAAAAAATTATGTTGAATGAAATAAGACAGGCACAGAGGGAAAAACAACGAATGTCCTCACTCATAAGTTGGAGCTAAGAGAGAAGGAAGGAAGGAAAGACAGACCACAGTGGTGTGTTGGACTTGCAGAGGGAAAGAGCATCCTAGGGTTGCTGAATGGGATGGGGAGGTGGGAAGGGGAGGGAGGCCAGGGAATAATTGGGTGGGGGACACAGGGAATAATCGCATTTGTGGTAATGGGCATGCTGATAGTATTGATCTGGCCATCACATCTTGGGCACAAGTGGTGATGGACACCTTTGTATCCTGTGAATATGCATGATGAAGATTGGATGTGTTGTCTCTGCCAAAACTCATGTGGAAATCTGATCCCCAATGTGGCAGTGTTGGGAGTTGTTTGAGTTGCGGGGGTAGATCCCTCATGAATGGATTAATGATCTCCCTGGGGGAGGGAGACCTGAGTGAGGTCTCACTCTATTAGCTCCCATAAGAGCCAGTTGTTTAAAAGACCCTAGCACCTCTCCTCTCTCTTGCTTCCTCTCACTGTGTGATCTGCATATACCCTTGTACTCCTGCCATGAGTAGAAGCAGCCTGCGGCCCATGTCAAATACAGCTGTCCCAGAATTGTAAGCCAAATAAATTTCTGTTGTTTATAAATTACCCAGTCTCAGGTATTCTGTTACAGCTACACAAAATGGACTAATAAGGGCCGGCCCGGTGGCGCAATGGATAGTGCGCCGCTTGGGAAGCGCAGCGGCGCTCCCGTCCAAGGGTTCGGATCCCACATACAGACCGGCTCCCGCTCACTGGCTGAGCGAGGCGCGGGAGCAACACCGAGGGTTGCAATCCCGTTGCCGGTCCCCGGTCCGGTACGGGGGCAACACTGAGGGTTGCGATCCGTTGCCGGACACGGAAAAAAGACAAAAGACAAAAAAAAAAAAAAAAAAAAAAAAATGGACTAATACAATGCACAACCAATAAAAATAAACAAAAACCCTCCAGATTGTACAAAAGTAATATTGTTAAAAACATACAATTCTACTTACCTTGGCTTGTCTCTTTTTTCTCTTTGTCTTTCAAAATCTCGTCCTCTGTCCTTTCCATCTCTTGGTTTTTCTTCTATCCTGTCTTTTAATTTGTACTTTTCTTTATATTTTTTCCCCAGAGCAATATCTTCTGGTATAGGAGGGGGTGGACTAGGAGTACGTGGTCCTTTCTTTTTACTTTGGTTGCTTTTTGAATTCCTGAAGGTAATACAAAGATATAAGGAGAGGTCCAAATATTTCTGGAAGTTCAAGTGGATATTTTTTAAGTAGTTAAAACAGCAGCATTCTTTTCAATTACTTGCCCTTTACTATTCTGTATACTAGTATCCAATATTCAGAAAAACAATAACTCACAGAAATAAGTAAATTTACTTGCTACTTATTTTGTTAAAACTGCTTACTATGATTTAATTTTAAAGGGTTTCTGAGAAAAGGTAGAGATGGGGTAGGAAAAGACTCAGGAAAGGAAATATAAAATGAAACAAATGCTTAAACTGCATTTTCTTTTAGCTTATATAGAAAAGTAGATGAAGAAAGTAAACATCACCTATAAATTACTACTCAAGGTAGGAAAAGACTCAGGAAAGGAAATATAAAATGAAACAAATGCTTAAACTGCATTTTTTTTTTAGCTTATATAGAAAAGTAGATGAAGAAAGTAAACATCACCTATAAATTACTACTCAAGGATAATTATTATTATTAAGACCTTGGATGTACTTCTACACTTCTCCCATAGCTATTTCCTTTTCTATGTATTTAAAACTGGATATCCACATGCAAAAGAAGTTGAACCCTTATGCTGTACCATACACAAAAACGAACTCAAAAAGGATTAAAGATCTAGACTCAAGACTTAAGACTATAAAACTCCGAGAAGAAGATATAAAGAGAAAGCTTTATGACATTGGACTGGGCAATGATTTCTGGGCTATGACAGCAAAGGCACAGGTAACAAACGGAAAAGTAGACAAATGGGACTATGTCAGACTTAAAAATTTTTGTTTGTCAAAGGACACAATCAGAGTGAAAAGATAACCAACAGAACGGGAGTATATGTAAATCATATATATACACATACGTATATATTTGGGGGGACACACTAGTTTCTCATCATTGGAAATGGCCATTAATACCTCTCTCCCTCTATCTCTGTCAATACATACTCACAGAATATGCTATGTTTTGTGAGATTTTTTTGTACTGAACATAGACATAGCATGGACATGTTGCTGTAACAAGAAGCAGATTTAGGTACTCATTTTTATAGACTGTATAGAATTTCCTTGAATAGATGCTCCATAACTTCTTTGAACAATTTCATTTTGATAAGTTTTTCACATAACTTCCAAGTTTTCATCATTATAAAGAAAACGCAATTATATCATCTACAAATAAAATCCCAAGGCCTGTTACATTAGTAAACATTTATTTAAATCTTTAAATCTCTTTGAAAAATCTTTCCTAATTCTTAGATCACAAAGATGGTCTCCTAAAATTTTGGAATTTTGTCTTTCACATTTAAGTCTTTAATCTACCTGTTATTGATTTTGGGGTATAGACTATCCTCTGTAAGTGCCTCTTTTTGGCACTTCAAGTATTTTATCCAAATGGTATACGTTTGATCCCATACACATCCCAAACCACCTGTCTTTGCATTATAACTCAACAACAGATTGACTGAATATAGCATTTTTATGTCAAAATCATTTTCCCTCAGAGCTCTAAAAATACTCATAGTATCTTCTAGCATTCAGTGTTGGAGAAAAGAAATCTTAAGAGTCAATTTTTTACTATTCAGGTGACCTGGTGTTTCTGTTGGGATACTTATAAAACACTATTCCTTGGAAATTACTTGTTAAAAAAATTTTTTTTACCAAGGTATCTTTTTTTAAAAAAACTTTTCCAGCATTCAATGAGCTGTTGTCTCAATCTGAAACTTCAAGTTTTTTACTCCGTTTTTTTTATTTTTAATCACTTCTCCATTTGACTCAAGTCTCTGGAGTTCTCCTTATTATACCGTTACTGCATCTCCTGGATCTCTCCTCCACGTCAAATTTCTGTCATTTCCATCTCTCCTTCTGCTTTCCAATCTTACATTTGTTTTCAAATTTAGTAATTTTTCTTTTATGTAGCACCCATTCTACTAATTCAGAATCTGGCAATCTCATTATTCTATTTTCAGTTTGAAAATTGAAAACCTTTTTTCTTCCGAAATATCCCTGTTCACATTTTTTTCCATGATCAACTGCTCTCACCATGTCAATGCAATATCCTCTCAAACTGTACTACACTTATGAATTAATTTATTATTTACGTTTGTTCCTGTTTTCTGTATTAATATTTCTGTGAAAGCCATCTGCTCTGAGTGTTCAGTCTGTTACTGGGTTTTTAAGTAACCCTTTCTTTTCATACATCTGGTGAATTTTCACTACCTACTCATTTTACTACCTATTGATATTTATAAATGAGGACTTAAGCCTAAATCCCAGAACTCCCTTCCTAATACCTTGAGTTCTCTAGTCCCAAGATTCCTTAGCTATAAAAAGGTAATGAATAGTGTCTTCCTCAAAATTACTAGTAAGATTAAAAAAAGACAAAAAGTATAAAAGCACCTGAATCATGGTGAGCATTCAGAAAATTTAGCTCTCTTAGTCTCTCTTTCTTATTATTGCAGAAAAAGCACCTGAATCATGGTGAGCATTCAGAAAATTTAGCTCTCTTAGTCTCTCTTTCTTATTATTGCAGATAGGGTTAAGCACCTAAACAAGTTGGAAATTACTAAAATATGATCAATTCTAGTTTTCATTCTTGTCTTTTGCCAACAATAATAACAGCCACATCTCACTGAATATTTATAAGATCACTCCAACTTCTTATGCACTGAACAGATAAATGATAAATGCCTGTATTTCTAAATATTTTTCTACTTTAAAGACAAAAAATAATCAATAATTGTCATCTATATCAAAAATTATTTTTAAAAATTTCAAGATAAAATGATAGAGGAATTCTTGACATAAAGTGTATTTTCACATTACTGCCTGTGATAAAGACTAGCTGGTGTTTACCAAACTTTTCTCCTGGGCACAATGTTGAAACATACTACGTTTTTTTGAAATTAGGTGTGGCCTAGTGACCAAGATCTAGCCAAAGGAATGTGTGTGGAAGTGGGATATACCACTCTTAGGCCTGACTCGCAAATGCCAGGCAATCGTAAACTATAGAGTTAAATAAGTGCAATACTCAATTAATTCTTTTCTTTGTACATTCCATTATTTGGTTTCCTTGAAAGCCCAAGAAAGTGGAGCCATGGTCAGAAGAATCTGGATTATCAACTCTCCATGTACAGGACAGCCATCTGTTAATCAGAAATACCCATTCTGACTACACTTGAATGAGAAATAAATTTGTGTTAAACCACTGACAGTTAGGGATTTAGCTAGTATTACAATCCTAATACACTTACTAAAGTAGAGAATTCTTCACATTACCTTAAAAAATAAATGGTTGGAAAATACAATTACGTTACAGTACTTTTTAACTAAAGTGGTCAAAATTGGTTTTGCACATTCTGAGGTCAACAAGATCTTTAACATTTTTTAAGTCAACTGATTATCCTTTTACTGGCATATAGTAGTCCACTCCCTATTTGTGGGAAAAAACCCACTTGTCAATTTTTATCATTTTTAGATTCTTTCTCTCTCTCCCAAAACTATTTCTTTTGAATAGCTTTTGACATACTTCATACTTCTTTGTACAAAGAGCTATAAAGAAAAATTTACCCAATAAAAACTAAGATTAAATGCAAACAGACAGAATAGATAATGTATTTGTGATTTTAAATCATACTGTATCTCAGACATAAGGATAAATCTTACTACCAGACTATATCTCACTAGGGACATTAAAGAAAAACACCAGCTTTCAGGGAGAAGCATGAGTTTTAACTAGTCATTATATCTGCCCGTTCAATATGATAACCTAGTAAGACCAAGGAATGTGTTTACCTGATCCTCAGTTGATTTACTGGCATTGGTTGAAATATTCCAGTGAACTTTAACTGAAATTTTAATCCTTACTTATGCTTAATATGTCTACAAACAGTTTATACTATGATCCAGTAATGAAATTAAAAGTTGATTTTCTGACACTCTAGGCAATATAAACTGCATAGCTAAAGAAATACTATACTTAATTCGATGTTTTCTTTGTATTTTTAATGCACGGTATTCCAGGTCCTTCTGCTTCTATTATTAAATTAATTGTGCATCTTAAATCCAACAATATACTAGAATACAGAAAACATAGTAGTTAAATCAATGTGAGTAATTATGACATATTTATCAAAGGATGAGTTACTAATAAAGCTGTAAGAGAAATTATATGAAAAAGGGTGAAACTCATCCTCCATCTAAATAATTATAAAAACTTTCTATGAAGAGATTAAATTTCAAAGATGTTTAGAAAGGATAAGAAAATTAAGGATATTTCTGATAGGCAGTTTACTGGGAAAATGGATGTAATTGAGGTAAAGTTGTACAATTGCTTAGCCAAAAGGATAAATGGCAAGTGGGGTGGATTGCATCACTCTATGATCATCAACTTCTGCCATATCCCTCTGTAATATTTACTCAGTATGTTAACTGAAAAAGCAACTTGCAGAAGAAACATTATATCTGTATTACGAATAAGTAGAGGAAAGTAATATTATACATTGCAAAAGAATACATATTAATGAAAGTATAAACACATATGCACAAGTAACATATGTTAACTGAAAAAGCAACTTGCAGAAGAAACATTATATCTGTATTACGAATAAGTAGAGGAAAGTAACATTATACATTGCAAAAGAATACATATTAATGAAAGTATAAACACATATGCACAAGTAACATAAACACCAATTCAAGAGGAAAGAAGAGGAAATGTGTAAATACAAAAAGCTCTGAAGCATAAGCAGATAGGACAGTTTTTTTTTTATTCTTCTCTATAATTTTCTTTTCAATTGAAATATTTCCTACTTTTTTTAGAAGAAAAAAAGCTTACATCAAATATTAAAAGTTTTAAGAGTACCCTTCTATAATCTACTACATAATTCTTTTTAGTATCACTTCAGGAAAAGCTATTTCATTCTGGCACTACTTATCACACTACTGACCTCTGCTGGTCCAACAGGGGAGAAGATACTACAGATGTCTTCCTCTCTTTCTTGTTAGATGAAGATGACTTGGGGCTTGATTTTCGCTTTGGAGACTTGCTAGACTTTCTTAAAGAAGGTGATGGAGACAATTTTGATCTAACTACTTCTGGTGAAACCTTTCAAAAGAATTCAGTAAGTCAGTTCAGAAATTCCTCCACTCATGGTACAACAAAGCATATATTTTTAAATCATACCAAACTTAATATTAAAAACTAAGTACTATTATAGCCACCATCTGTTGGTATTAGTCTGACTCCTGAACCCATGCTTTAAACCAATATGATAATTAACTGACCTAACATACACTAATATCAATAAAGCAAATTAAAATTATAAAATTTCAAAATCTTCTCAGAAAAATCACAAATTATATTCAAATAAATTGTATCTCTACTCTTTAGAAAAGAAACAAGGCATTCTAGAAACAGCATAGGCCTGAAACAGACATATGTAAACTCAGATCCCACTCTATATTTGCTGGTGACTCTAGGCAACACAGCATCAGTTTTGCTCACCTATTCAATAGCAAAAATATTTCCTATTTAATAGATTAATGTGAAGATTAAATGATGAACATATGGAGTAGATGATATACAGTAAGTTGATCAATGTATCTATCAGTATCCTACTGTAATTTAAGATGCAGCAAGCAGCTGAGTTCTCTGATCAATAAAGATGTTGATATTAATAACTAACACATGTTGCAATAAATAGCATACCTCCTTTTTAATGATAATTTCTTCTCTCTTCTCCATGTTTTCTTGCTCCAACTTCATTAATTCCCTCTGTATCTTCTGACGCTTCATTTCCAATGACAATTCATGAACATAATCATAATTAATATCTCCATTGTCAGAATCTTTAAAATAAAAATTCCATTACTTGTCAGAAACTACCATAATTATCCATACCAAAAGTCACAAAACTTTTTCAACTAATTTTTTATGCAAATTTAAGTGGCAGATTATTTCATTAGAAAAACATACTTTTAAAAGATAAAAGAAACAGATACTGTGATTAAAATTACCATGGTTGCTTTCATTATGAAAAGCCAAATACTTTTAAGGTTTCTGGGTTTCCTGGAAGTGATTTTGAGTTGTCTGGGGGCTGGGATTTTTGTCAGAAGATGGGATTTTAAAAGATACAATTAAGGCACCCAGCTAAATAATCTAAGCATTAAAGATATTAATACCTACAGTATTTCATCCTGCATAAGATGTAATTCATTACCACCTTGATTTTCTTAAAGATTCATTATTAAAGTGAGGCCATATTAGGTGGGCAGCATTGCTTCTATAGTTTTGTCATTTGTTTATCTTTTAGACAAATGATTTATATCTAAAATAAAATTAACTAATTTTAACACTTATGTATACATGAGCTAATTTTTCAAGGATTTATGACATTTTCATCATAAGTGACTTTTACTATTTCCTTAGATCAGAGTTGTCCATCTCAATGGATCTGATGCCATGTTTCTAATTCCATTCAAACGTTTCTGATGAAAAGATTATGAAGGTTGGTTAAAAAAGAAAAGAAAGGAATGGTGGTGTGTAGATCTATTTCATTACAATATGTAGAAGTTTCAGTGGCTACTGGTACTGGCACTGGTGTTCAAACCCTCATTTTCATTAGCCATAAATGCCAAGAAGCCAGAAGGAAGGAATTTCATCGACTTTTATCCTAACACATGACCATGACCACGATGGGCCTGACTGATCACAAGCTGAGGTGTTCTCCAGATACATTTTTAGCACTTTAGATCATTTCTTAAACTGGGGTAAAAAAATAAAACAAACTAAAAAACAATAAAAATAAATAGCCTTACTTGACTGTTTAAAGCACAAGAAAATGAGCATCATTGCCAGGTATAGCTCAAATACATTAGAATGCCAAATATTCATTCATGTTTGGAGACTGAGAGAGTAACTATGTATTCATTATCTGTGTGACTAAATGTGATCACTCATCTTATGTTGAAGTATAATGACAATTTCTCAGTAAATATATTAAATAAACTAAATCATGTTTTTTTAGTCTGAAAGCAATCACTAAATATTAAAAGGACATATAGTTTTTACTAGATGAAATATTGGAGATACTGAGTTTAATTTAGTAAAATATATTTATCTCAGGTTACTATTTTGTGCTCCACTGAGACACTTTACATGTGAATAATAGGACTCAATAATCTGGTTTGATTATGTTCTTAAACTAAATAAAATTCCATAACCAAATATCCAGGAAAACAAAGGAAGAATAATTAATTGAGAATAATTAACTGTTTTTTTGAAGGTATTATAAATAATGCCTTGCCCACCTAGAAACTGCTATCTGGAAATATCAGTACAAAACACATAAAAAATGAGAAGCTGGCTTTCAGTCCTCAACCCCCAACTACTCAGCAAAAGGGAAAAGACCTGAGCAGTTAAAATATATATCAAAGACAGTGTAATATAGCTAATACATTTTGTGCAGAGAAAAAATTCAAGCCTTTACATAGAAAGTACTTATTTGATGCACATCTACTATAATGAAAACTAAGAAGACTTCCTAGTCTATAAGAGACGGACTATAAGGTAAGCACTCGGCAATAGTCAGTCACCTAACAACAAAAGGAAAAAGAGAAAGCACGAAATATAGGATGGAAATCTATAAACAAGAGCCTGAAACCAGTTAATAAACTTAGAAAATGTCTCTCATGTTTTACAGCATGACTCATATAAGTGATTCTAAGTCACTGGAAAAATATTAAATATAATTAGAATGGTGTATTTAACAAGGCAGAGATGTTTAAGAATATATAACAGAAAAATACATGTAACAAATAAGGTTGATATTCTTTATATATATAGAATTCTTACTAATCAACAGAAGAATAGGCAAAGGACATGACAAGATAATACAAAAAGAGAGAAAGAAATGCAAATGGTATATAAATATGCCTTTTTCATATATTAAGGAGCCATTTTTTCCTAACTATAATATTAATTGTTGGCAAAGGTACAGATAAAGAACATGCTCATTCTCCGGTGGTTAAAATGAAAACCAGTATATCTATCCTGTAAAATAATTTGTCCATATGGGTAAAACATTTATATCCTTTAATATAATAATTTTACTTCTAGTAATTTACTGTATGAAAATTATCACAAATACATAAAAAAGTATATGTATAAAGATTAAAGACTATAATCCTTATAGATTTTCCTTTTGTCTTTATGATATACTCTCACTATTAAAGTCAAACAATTCTGAGTACACAGAGTAAAATTCCCCTTATATTCCTCCCACTGCCATCCTCACTCCAATGGTAACACTGCTAACAGTTTAGTGGTGTATGCATAAAACTAAACTTTTATATTTTTCTCTTTAAAATAATGGAAGCCTAACTATAAACACTGCCCTATAAACAAGATCTTTCCATGTCATACACAGAGTGCAACCTCATCTTCATTTTAACATCTGCAAAGCATTTCATAACATGAATGTACTATAACATATTTAACCAGACAGAAGCTTTTTTTCAATATTTTGTTGTTATAAACAAGACTTCAATGAATATTTTGAAACCTACCTTGGTTCGTAAGTGCAAATATTTATGACAAATTTCTCAAACAGATTTGCTGGATCAAAAATAAATATGATTTTTATTTTTTATTTTTTTTTATTTTTATTTTTGTCTTTTGTCTTTTTTTTCCGTGTCTGGCAACAGATCGCAACCCTCAGTGTTGCCCCCGTACCGGACCGGGTATTTTTTATTTTTATTTTTGTCTTTTGTCTTTTTTTTCCGTGTCCGGCAACGGATCGCAACCCTCAGTGTTGCCCCCGTACCGGACCGGGGACCGGCAACGGGATTGCAACCCTCGGTGTTGCTCCCGCGCCTCACTCAGCCAGTGAGCGGGAACCGGTCTGTATGTGGGATCCGAACCCTCGGGCGGGAGCGCCACCGCGCTTCCCAAGCGGTGCACTATCCAGTGCGCCACCGGGCCGGCCCATGATTTTTATTTTTAATGTCACCAAACTGCATTCCAAAACAGCTTTACCAGAGTAAAGTTCTACTTGACAACAGTATTTTTCACTCTGTAAAACTGATGGGTAAATTATGCTATCTCTTTATTTTCATCAGCATTTCTCTGCAGTAAGGTGGAGCATTTATTGGACATTTCTATTTCTTCTGTGAGTTACACAGCCAATATTTTTTCCACATTTTTTTTTTTAACTGGACTGTCTTTTTCTTACATATTTGTGGAACTCATTATATGTTCATATAGTGTCCTTATAAATGTTTACACATTAAACATGTCAAATATTTTCTTCTAGTCTATCACCTATCTTTAACTTTTGCATTTAATTACAGTGAAATTTCTCATTTAAAAAAAAAAAATTTTTTTTTTTTTTTTGGCAGCCAGTATGGGAATCCAAACCCTTGACCTTGGTGTTACAACTAACCAACTGAGCTAACCAGCCAGCCCTGAAATTTCTAATTTTTATGTAATCAAATCTTTTGTGGCTTCTGGGTTATATGCCTTATGTTAAAAGAACATACCCACCTTCAAGATTCCCCAAATATTTTCATACATTTTCTTATATTACAATGATACTTTCGTTTTTTATGAACAAATATGAGAAATTTAAGGAGCCAAATAAAAAAAACACAGACTTGGGAGTGGGCACTGGAAATACAGTAAGCAACTAGATCATGAAAAGTTTTGTAGACACAGAAAGAATCTGTACTTGATCCTGAAGGCAACGGGAAATTAGAGAATTTTAAATAGGAGAATGAAATGGACCAATTTATTCTTTTAAAAGATTACTCTGCAACTTACGAGTGGGAGAAGATACTTGCAAAACATATATCTGATAAAAATCTCATATCCAGAATATATAAAGAACTAGTATAATCCACAAGAAAAAAACAGATAACACAATAGAAGAACAGACAAAAGCTTAGAATAGACAGTTCACAAAGTAGGTACAATGGTCAATAAACATGTGAAAAAGTTCTCAACTTCATTAGGGAAATGAAAACTAAGACCACAATAAGGTATCACTACATACTTCTAGAATGGCTAAGATGTAAAAGGCAAAAAATAACATGAATAATTGGCATAACCATTTTTGATTTGGCATTATCTACTAAAGATGAACACATACATATTCCATGGTCTGGCAATTCCACTTAGAAGCAGCAAAAACTCAAGAGAAATGTGTGTATGTTTACCAAAAGATAGGTTTAGGAATATTAACAGTACCTTGGTCATAATAGCCCCAACCCAGAAATTGTTATGTTCATCAACACTAGAGTGAGTAATTATGGTCTAGCCATACAATGAAATACTATATAACAACAGTAATTAATGAACTATAACTATGTGTAATGAATCTTTTAGACATACTACGAGCAACAGAAGCCAGGCACAAAGAGTATATGCTGTCGACTCCATTTATATAGCTAGAGCTTAATAAACAGACAAAACTAATCAATGGTGCTAGAAATCAGGACAGTAGTGACCTTTGGAAGGTGGGGTAGGGAAGGTGGGGGTGACTGGAAGGGAGCACAGAGGGGCTTAAGGGAAACTAATAATTTTCTATTAATTGATTTGAGTGCTGGTTATACATGTGTTCAGTTTGTGAAAATTCAATGAGTTGCATACATAATTGTGCGTTCTTCTGACTGTATATTATATTTTTTGTAAAAAATAACTTAAAAAAGACGTTAGAGAGGAGAATGAATTATGAGTCAAACTATACACATGAGATGGGGTTAGGAGGTTATTTTGGTAAAATATATTCACAGGCAATAAACAAATATCTTAAGAATTAGAACATTAGTAGTAAACTAAGAGAAATAGTTGGTTTTGAAAGACATTCAGCAGGTAGAAAAGTAAGAACTCTGTAAATGCCTGGATGGAGGCAATGATGATTCTCAGGCTTGTTGGAAACCTGGTAGGAAAACGGTGCTCTTAAGAACTGAAACTCAGATGGACATATCCAGTTGATAAATGCTAAATACTAATCTGGAGCTCAATCTAGAGCTATGTTCTGATGTTCCAGTTACTGGAGAGACATTGAGGGTACTTTTCAAACCTTAGTCTATAAGCATTCAGAGATCATTCTGAAATGTAGTAGTGCATATTTTAACCTTGCAGGTTCTCAGTTCTCTGCCACAAAAACTCAACTTGGCCACTGTAGCTCAAAAAAAGCCACAGACAACATGTGACCACATGCATGGTAGTGTTCCAATGAAACATTATTTGCAAAAGCAGGTGACTGGCACATGAACTGTAGTTTTCTAACCCCTGATCTAAGTTTTTAGCTTACCGCTAAGACAGTTGCTTAAATTCTTAAACTCTTTATAATTTTATCTTCTGTAAGTATAGTAACAAAGCTATTGAGGTAATAAGATAATTATAGCAAGATGTTCAGCACACCTAATGAATTCAACAAATGGAAATTCCTTTTCTCTGTATTTGGTAGTGTGAGGTTATAGTGCTCACCTTCCAGAACATCAAAGAAATAGAGAAGAGACAATATTCAAGGTGTGGAAAATAAATGCTTATTTGGTAAGACAATGATTCTAAGATTATTTTGCTAACTTTTCATAAAGAAATACCTGGTTTTAACTATCACCTTATTTCAATTTCTTCTGAAAGATGAAAGGCAACAATTTCTTGGAAATAATTTTCCCAGGTTCTTAAGATTTAAAAATCTTACTTTTAATATTTTATGTAAAACAACAAACAAATTTAGATTAAATTTTTTAACCTGAGAATTGAGGAATTCAAACATTTACAAATGTAATAAAACCCCAAAGGACTGTGATGCTGCACTATAAAGTTCTAGAGGGAAAAAAAGGGTGGGAAAGATGACATATGCAGAACAAACTGTCTTCTCTGCCTTTATACTGCTATTATATACCAGTTTCTGCCTTATAACTCAGTAAAATAGAAACAGGTCAATAAGATGATTTTGAAAAATAGGGAGATCACGGTTGAAAGATATTTTAAAGCCCACAAAAAGTCTACAAAGTGAAAAATCTACACTTGACTATACAAGCAAAGATTTTGAGACTCACCATCTCTATTAGTTTCCCATTCTACATTTTCTTCTTCACTTTCTGGAGTTCTTTCCTTAGTGATTTTTATGTCTTCCTTCTCCCTATGCCTCCCTCTTGAAGATTCTTTCTAAAAAGTACATACATACATACACATAGATTACTATATTTTTAAAAACGGTATGAGATAGTTATTGTAATACAGAACATTTTAATTTTATTTGTCTCATCAAAATCAGTTTTATAAATAGTTACTTATTCACTAAGTAGAGAAAGTGACAAGTTCTAAGGAAGTACCACAATGAAAAGACTATATCTATTTTACTTTATAACAGCAACTTGGTAAATGTAAGTAGTAGCTAAAATTTAAAAATCTACAATGCAAGCCTAATACTTTAATCAGCATTTTGATATTGTACTATATACTAAGTTTCTGTGTGAAAATCACTGGGGAAAAGACAATTTAAAAAGGATAATACACATGCAAGGATTTGTAAGTGATCATATTTAAAAATGACTAAAAAAAAAGGCTAAACCATTCAGAGTAGATTCTCAAAAATAATTGATCTAAGACTTGTCATACACTAAAACAATAGCCACTTCCCTACACAGGTAAGGATAAATCCAAACTCATTAAATAATTTTATAAAGGCTGTAAAAAAGAGATATTACCTATGTTGATGAAACCAAATGGTAGCTAAAATAGTAAATTAGTCTTTAATACTTCAGCTAAAAAAAAAAAAAAAAGTTTTACGTTTTATTCCAGGTATAACAATAGCCCATGTGCTGAACAGGATGACAGTAACTTAGTTTATAAAATCAAATAAATACCCTTTTACATAAGACTCTAGACCACATTTTAACAGGTGGTGAGAAAATAAACAATGTCATATAATTGCTATCTTCTTACCACAGTGAAATTCTCACTTTTATTAACACTCTAAATATTGATTATGAGAGACAATGACACATTTTGTTCTGAGCATTATCAGTCAAAAGATCCGGCCGCTTAAAACACAAAAATTAATTTCTCTTTGAAGTATTCTTTTTGAAAAACTCCAGTATATATTATTATAATTGTCCCTAAATTTTACATAGTTAGGTATAAAAGTCATGTTATAAGAATTACTTGCAAAATGACATATATGGCTGCCAGTAAGTCAGAGGCTGATAAAAATCATTAAAAGATAATATGAGAGTAAAACCTGCCATGAAAAAACGGTAAACGGTCAAGAAAAAAAGAAATGGGCTTCTATTTGTATAGAACACAAAACAAAAAAAAGAACACAATCTACTTTTATTCTTAAAATGTATTCTGTGGAACACCAATGAAGAACTATTCTATATCCCACGCAACTTCTGAATGTTCTGTGGATTAAACCCACTATAAATATACATTAGTGCATAACTATACCAAAAATATTTTGTAGGAAGTTATTTCCAATTATTGAATAACAAACTCTGTGCTTTTTGCCTACTTAAAACATCATGTAATATCCAATTACAAATTTAGTTGAAAAGGGTTTCAGAGCAGTACTGTTGGTACTTCAAAATAAACAAAATAATCTGTAAATGTTACACAGATTACTTTTACCAGATTTAGAAACAGAAATTTAATAATCAATAAATTTTAATAATAATTTATGTAAACATTTCATATTTATTGTATATATTAAAATTATGTAAATTTTTAGTTGTCCATGTTTTTAAAATATGACTATGACACTGCCCCTAGAGCTTTTAATAATAATTTATGTAAACATTTCATATTTATTGTATATATTGAAATTATGTAAATTTTTAGTTGTCCATGTTTTTAAAATATGACTATGACACTGCCCCTAGAGATAATATACAACTTCTTTTATTAAGTACTTGAGAAAGAATGCAGGTTTCATTACGTGGTGGAATTTCAAGTTAGGAGATATGTTTTTTCTAATACTTTGTAATTATCCCACCTCAAATCATAATGTAGGAAATTATTTTGATAACTTATTAAAGACAGCCCAGCTCATTTAAAAGAATATCATATTTTCTCATTTTCTCCACTTCAACATTGTATAACTTGTTTAGGCTTGTTATTCCTTTATCAAATAAAGTTATTTCCCCCTTTCTCTTATATCCAAATAAATAGGGTCTGATATTACTTGTCCCGTTTAGTGTAGTATGATTTGCTCTTTCAATTTTCTGTATTTCTAGAATGGCTAAATCCAAACATATTAATTAGAAGTGTAACCTTTTGATTACTTTATTATGTATTCTAAATTAGTCATCCTGGAACATATTCATGTTGAAATACTTGTTAAAGAACCACAATATTTCAGCCCAAACCCTTGGGATCAAATATTTTAAGAATTTAGAATTTTTTGGAGTTTCAAAGCATATTAAACAACAATGCTAGTAAAGTCTGAGGCAGCAGCCTGTGATCTAACATACCAGTATTTTTGCAGCAAAGCATAGAAATTCACCAATTGGGTAAAGACTATCATCGGATTCATTTCAATTAAGATCAAGTTTTGCTGCCAAATAAATCCGTGCCTAACTTCAAAAAAGTGTTTGGTTTTAAGTTTCTTGGATTTTGGAAATGCAATAAATGACTGTGGACTTGCTTTAAATTCATTTCATTTCTACTTTATATTATATCATATTTCTTACATATGTAGGCAGATTATGTTCATTATGAGTTTTATTTTTAGATAGTAAAGAATCATTACAAAGAATTTGAAATAAAAGGAAATGATCAGGCTAACAGAGTTGAAAACCAATATTATAAGTGGACTGGTATCTAGAATAATAAAATCTTAGTAGCCTTTGCAAGTAATACAAGTATAATCCAACCTCCTACTCCATGCAGAAAAATTTTCTTTAATATTTGTATGGAAGTCCTCTATTAGAAGAACTTTTTGGGAAGAAAAATTAGCTCCCAAGGTCTCCTGACAGCTGTCCACTGTTGTACCCCTTCACTCCCATTTCCAGACAGTTATAATTATCAGAAAATTCGTTTCTTATACTGATCACGTCTTTCTTATAACTCTCCAGAATTTTTGACTGAGGCTAGTTCTGACCTCTGGAAC